ATATTTTTAATATATATATTATTTTGTCACTGACCAGTGACAGAAAAAGAGATGAGTGAAGAATCTTACTAATGCATAGGAAAAGTGCTAAAACGTGGACTTCTTATGCTTTCTCTTTCAGTTGCAGCCTAGTGCCAATGTACATGACCTGGCCAAGAACTTCAATCTGGAAGTCTCTCTCTTTGAACGACTGGTGAAAGTCAATTTCCCCTTTGTCCGTCTAAAATACCAAGTGAGGAAGAGCTATAAAAAAACTCTGTTGCATTTAGGTTGTTTTAAATTTGTGGTGCACTCAAATTTATATTTCTACACTCAGAGCAGCCGAAAAGAAAGGAGTGTCATCCTTGCCTTGTATTCGGCCAGTCTGTACAGCAGAAGAGCAGCACGTGGACAGGGAAGTATGGTGCTTCTTCCTCAAGACTGATAAAGCTGCTTTCTGTTTCAGCACCGCATGCGTCCTGAAATTGCCCAGCTCATCTGTCCTCATATATACCAGGAGCTGGAGAATCATCCCTCTGTTCTGAAGTATGAGAACATAAAAGTGAGTTTTCAGTAATCCAAGCAATTCCTTTTGTCCACACTTACTGGCAAAAATGAGTTTCTGTAAAATTAGTGTTTAAAGTTTTAAAATTCATAGATGAAGTTCAGTTATTGAAATTTATACCTGAATCAAGGAGACGTGTGGTATAGAACTAGGCAAGTAATTTGTAGTTCTTCTAGCATTAGTGATGATGGACACTGGAAACGGATCCAGTACTGATGACTTTAAAAGAACAGTGAAAAATGGAAGAGGGACCAAAATAATTGTAGGACGTATTATACTTTAAATCTTTCATTTAAGATTTGTTCCTGGTTTTCCCATGTGAAACTCCAGTGTAAGACAGGTGACTTGATTACGTGAAGCCCTCCTTCCTTGGGTTCTCAGTTGCAATCATCCTTGCTTCTTTATTCTCATGGCAGTAACAGAAAGCGTGGGGTTTTTGCTAGGCAGTTTTAGGCAAGGGCTAAGCCCTGTGCATTGGTAACTTGCTTTTTCCCCACGTGACCAAAACAGGACCTTGTTCATGCCATGAATGTGAAACAGAACTATGATGCTTTGAGAAATGTTATTAGCACTTAATCTTCGTTTTTAAGGGTACCTTTTCAGGTTATAGGAAAGATAGGGAATAAAATCCACAGGAACTGATATCTTATTAGGATACTGAAATGTCATTAAAGTTGAAGTGCAATTAATAAGCTTGAATTTCTATCACCTAAGTATTCGGTGTCTGCCTGACGTAGTCCTATCCTTAAGATTGTCACCTTGTCTATTTGGGATATGGAAACGGGCTGCACTGACAGAAGCTAGAATTCAGTTTCTGATACTGCTTTCTCTCGTTTCAGGGGGTCGTATCTAACGTCTTCTTTGTGGAACATGAGTTTCCTGAGCAAGATATTCAGGAAGGGAAAAGCCACCAGAACACACATGAAGCCCAGTTTGTGGTGGAGCTGTGCAAATACTTCTTGTGTCAGGATTATTTACCTTCTCAGATCACCATTCTCACTACTTATACTGGACAGCTTTTCTGCCTGCGCAAGCTCATGCCAGCCAAGATCTTTGCAGGAGTGAAGGTTCATGTAGTAGATAAGTACCAGGGTGAGGAAAATGATATTATTCTGCTGTCACTCGTGCGGAGCAACAAAGAGGAGAGAAGCGGGTTCTTGCAGGTCCCTAATCGGATCTGCGTGGCGTTATCCAGAGCCAAGAAAGGGCTGTATTGTATTGGAAATATGAGAATGCTTGGCAAGGTTCCTCTCTGGAGCAAGATCATTCACACCCTTAGGGACAAAGGTCACATTGGCAACTCATTGGTACTTTGCTGTGAAAACCACCCTGAAACCAAGACGCTGGTATCTACAGCAGCAGACTTCAGCAAAGTCCCAGAAGGAGGCTGTAGTCGTCCATGTGAATTTAGGTTGAGTTGTGGGCATGCTTGCATAAGGGCCTGTCACCCGTATGACATGGAGCACACAAACTATCAGTGTCTGAAGCCTTGTCAAAAGGTGCTTTGTGCAAATGGGCACCGCTGTCCACGGTCATGTTACGAGCCCTGTGCACCATGTGTGGTGATTATAGAGAAAATTATTTCTGCATGTGGTCACCTGCAGATGGTGCCATGCTCTACTCCAGACAGTGAGTTTCTTTGCCAAGAACCTTGCCAGAAAAAGTTGAGCTGTGGGCACACATGCAACAAATTCTGTGGGCAAGAATGCACTAAGGAGTGTCCTGAACTGGTAACGGTCATGCTGAAATGTGGCCACAAGCAGGAAGTCAAATGCTATATCACTGAGGAGATGAAACATGAGAAGCCTGTGGAATGTAAGACGAAGTGTTCTGTCACACTGGAGTGTGGTCATGTATGCTCAGGTTCCTGTCACACCTGCTTTGAAGGAAGATTTCATAAGCCATGTAACAGCCCGTGCAAGCGCCTCTTAGTCTGCTCCCACAAGTGTCAGCAGCCTTGTGTTACAGAATGCCCTCCCTGTCAGCTGGAGTGTCAGAACCGTTGTATCCACAGTAAGTGTAAAAAGAAATGTGGGGAGAGCTGCTTCCCCTGCGCCGAGCCGTGCGAGTGGCGGTGCCAGCACTACCAGTGTACCAGACTTTGCTCTGAACCATGCGACAGGCCTCGCTGCAACGCACCCTGTGCCAAGGTCCTGTGCTGTGGTCATCCTTGTATTGGATTGTGTGGAGAGCCATGCCCAAAGAAGTGCCTTGTTTGTGACCACGATGAACTTACCCAGATCTTTTTTGGCTTTGAGGAAGACCCAGATATTCGATTCGTGCAGCTTGAAGACTGTGGCCATGTCTTTGAGTCCCAGGGCCTTGACCATTATATGGATGAAGATGATGATGTCATCAAGCTGAAGGTGTGCCCTATATGTCAGACACCTATCAGAAAGAATTTGAGATATGGCACCATAGTGAATAGGCGGCTAGGTGAGATAGAAAAGGTGAAAGAGAAAATCCAAGGCTCAGCACAGGAAATTGAGTCAAGCAGACAAAGACTGCAGGCTGCACTGACAGGGAGTGCTGTTCTGCAGAAGAGTCTGCCCCTTAAGTGCCTCATGCTAGGATATAAACTAAAAGCTTCTGATCTCTCCACAAAAAGTATCGGACTAATTGAGAACCAGCTTAATTTCTACCAACGTGTAGCAGACCTAACCAATTCTCTGAGCAAAGTTGGCGCAAGTGAGGGGAAAGGGCTGAGAAAGCGGCTGGATGAAATCCAGGAGTGGCTGGATAAGCCACGCATCAGTTTCACGAGACAGGAGCTCTCTGACCTACAGTCAGAGATCCAGAGAATGACCTATTTGCTGAGCCTCTTGGTGAGGTGTGAAGGTGCAAAGGGGATGATCACCCCAGCACTTGCAGCAAAGATTGCCAGCATGCGTGAGATCCTCGAGGGGACAGAGAAATTCACAGAGGAGAAGGAGGCTGCGGTGAAGGCTGGCCTGCAGAGGCTGTGCACGGCCTTGCCACTGTCGGGGCTGGGCATCTCTGAAGCCGAGCGGGTGCAGATCGTCAGTGCTATTGGTTGTCCCCGTGGCCACTGGTTCAAGTGCAAAAATGGCCATATCTACGTGATTGGGGAGTGTGGGGGGGCCATGGAAAGGAGTAAGTGCCCGGAATGCCATGCAGCCATCGGGGGCACAAACCACACTCTGGACAGCACCAACAGCCTCGCCTCTGAGATGGACGGTGCCACCCACGCAGCCTGGTCTGAGGCAGCCAACAACCTGCTCAACTTTGAGGAATTCCACCCGCTGCTCTAGAGGGGCTCGGCCCCCTTCGCTGTC